TTCGTCTTTGGTGGGACCCCCCCTGCATTCTCTCTGCCCTGACCCTCGGGGGGATTTTCGGTTGTGTTGTATTATTTTTTATTCTGGTTTCTCGCATCAGCATTGTACTTGTGTTCGGGTTTTCTTTTGTTTTGTTAATAAACTATTCGTTTCTCGTGCTGTACCACACTCCACGCAAATCCCCCGTTCAGTGTAGTCCCTAGTAGGGACCCTTACACAAATCGGAATAGTTTTGCGCTATGAATGTGTCTGAGGTCTACCGATGCGGCTTGACCAAATATCAATAGAACAAGACCTTTCCCATCAAAATGATTTCAAAGAAATTCAATGAAAAATTCAAATCTTATTCAAATGTCCAACCTGGCGAATCAAACTCATGTCAGAGTTCTATTTGCACATTTATAAGGTCGTGCATAAGGCAAACGCAAGAAAAATGAAGTTAACAAATCACAACATAAGTTACAGAGAGATCCTATATAAACTAGTGTTCACGTAAAACTTAACAATTCCAACTTACTTAAGCGCTTGAAAAGTCGGAAGCGTTATCACTACTGTAGCTTCAAGAGACGTGAATTCAGACCCTGCACGGAAAGTGAAGCTGTGGCGCTTTATATTCGTTTTAGATAATTTGTTACGATATTTTGTTTTGATGTCATATCTTAACTCTGTAAAGGCTAGGTTGTCCTGAACCTATCATGATCATCAAATTTCTGGTTGTAAATTCACGGCAATATTTGAGCATCGAAACTACGCCCAATGTTAAAACCTTTCACAACTAAATGGCGTGAAAGCGAATAAAATGATGATTTCTTCAAGTCTCGATGTTAGGAGAGTTCTATGCTTTACACATTTTTGAAAAGGTGTCGCAGACAATCGGGATTCTTACACTTCTACGGTCTACAACGCATCCAGAAATCATGTAAAAAAGAGCTCATTTCCAGTGGGAAATGGAAAATGATAAAAGACCCATTGACACTTAGCGAATGCGTTGGATGTTATTCATTTATCACTTACGGTAGCAGCCTGCTAATACGTAAGCGCGGTTTCAACTACCGCTTTTTCTATATATTGCTAACAAGAGTAGCTTTAAACAGCCCCGCGTGTAGCAATGGGGTTTGTGAATCAAGGCGAGTACGCGATACTTGGCTGAAGCAGTCTTGATCACTTACGCTTTTTCAGTGCGTTCGATAAACATCCATATGCCAAAACCCATGGAAATGAGTACGGCTGGCATGATATGCATAGCGATGTACTCCTTAGTGTAGTTTTGTACAAGCATAGTACTGAAATTTCAACTATCAAAAAAAAACTACCAAAGATCTTTCCCATTTCCACAACTACATATTTGCGAAAACTAAAGGGTAAAAGCCTTTGATGTCGATCAAGATAGTTTTCAATACGCACCCCGCATTCGACTTCCATTGAAAATTGCAGTAACGTTTTGTATGCGTATGGTCTATACAATGTCTCGTAGTGACCAGTCGATATACAAGACAGGGCTTCTGTCATCATGGGCAAGTCTGTTACCAGCTGACCGAACCCGGATGGATTGATGGCTTGGTTGTCCTGGATGATTACCGGTCCACATAAGATCCCCGAATCAAGCATGTGTGACAGTGCGCCCCTTCCACTGCTTCGCTTTCGCCTTCACAAAAATTCACGAATTTAAAATCGGATTCTCATGCCGGCGAGAAAGTTACATCAGTAAGAATTGACTCTTACCATAATTCTGTACCGTAAATCTTCTAGCATAGTGTAACAAAGGATCGAGTGGAAAACTATGTATTTACAACGTATCCTGCTTCATGTTCTGAGATAATCTTCGATATAACTTCGGCATGATGTGACTTCGGCGCTTCTCAACGTCTGTCATCAAACCAATGTAGGAAAGCCTTGCCATAGGTAAAACAGTTTGCCTTCCACAAATCATTGCAAAATGCTCACTCACGAACTGCCGCGAATTCTAGTGGAAGTCAAAGCATAGGCACAAAAAAAGGAAACGATTGATGCCAACGACGTTTTTCTGCAGATTCTTTCGCTTCACTTGCTTGTCGAACTTACTACACCATATAAGATCATTCGAGTGGGTTTTTGGAAGTATAAAAATGTAATAATACTCAAAAGCGTTGAATTGCTCACTATATTCTTTGCAGGGACATCAACCTGTCAATGGCCAAGTTCAGTATCCAAATAGTCGAGAGCAACATGCCACAAGAAGGGATGAGTTGCCAACAGGCGCAAACGGCTTGAGTCATAATGTGACCGGGAACCCTAAACCAGAAGAATTCAAAGACTTTGTGACACAGCTTCTTGCATCTTCCCCAGGATCATTCTGAAAAGAATAAGGAACTATTACATTACATCATTTCAACTGAAAGCGGGAAATTGGAGCTCATGCGGGTTAAGAATCTAGGGTGAACAGGATGTTACAGTACATGACCTTTATAGAAACGAGCCATGAGCCACTGAGCGATGTTGTATCTTGCTCAAAATTCTTATTTTGACAGTTTTTAACCATACTTATCCGAGAATTAATGGAAAAAATAGGTGACTATCTCAGCAACGACAATTTTGAAGATCGTAATGGGCTGAGAAGCTTAGTTTCACTTTAGCGGATTTTTCCTTAGTCGGTTCTGAAGCCGTACCCTCATACTTCCACATTAGAAAAATGCCCAAATCTGCCTCCACCTCTATTCATCTCAAGAGTCTTGAGTGAGCATTCGGTGCTTTGTTCTACCCTACGCACTGAAGAATCACCCAAGTTTCTCTTGATAACTCCCTCAATGAGTCCTGGTAATGGACTTATGCTTTGCATGCCAAAAGCTTCATATGGGTATTTCCTCCAACGAATGTACATCCTCACAGATTTGAATATTTTTTTCTAATTAGAACGGGAAGATTCTGGTCTCACGTGAATGCTGGTCCAGATCGGAGAAGTAATTGACGTCAGAATCAGTCGTAATAGTGATTTTTCTAGGAAAATTTCAAACTCACGTATAGTATGTGACCATCATTACGAATAGACCGAACATCTGCATAATATCACTGACGGAAATCAGGGCAATAAGTATGTTGCATGTACTTCTTAGGCTCCTGAACATAACAGATGCAACAGCAATAGATGGCTGGACAAATAAAGCAGTCAGGAATTGAATAATTGTCATCTTACTTTTTTAACAAACCAAAGAAAATTCAAAATTCGGAGGGGAAAGTACGTACTTCGATCGTATGGTAACATAGACAATGAGAAAATTTCCGATTGTGCCGATTGTCGGAATAATCACATAGACCACTTGATAAACAGGGCTTATTGTTTTGGCTTGCATGATGAAGATAGACTCTTGAATCGAAATGCAATAGTACTGAATGAAGTGTGGCTGAAACAATCTTTCATCAATACCATTCAAAAGTAAACATGCATGCGTCCGCAAGGACTGCTTCTTCTTTGGAATTTAACAATTTATTTTATTTACACATTTATTCACGCAGATATCCGAATCCTTCCCGGTCATGTCGAATCTCGATCTCAGTCCCCACGTGCTCGTTAAACATCGCTTCAGGAGGCGCCCTATATAGGGATTCGGTGACAGACTACTGCATCATCGCATTTTCAGCTACAAGCTCCATTTAACAGACAACTGCATCTCATAGTTGTTTCTGACTCATTTCAGT